AGTTTAATGCAGATTCTGCAGAACATATACAGGCTAAATAAAAACAATCACTGTATAATGTGTCCCCTGCTATATAGTCCAAAACCACCGCACGATGTCTCTGTGCACCAAATACTGGCGAGATGGCACCGTGTTGAAAAGTCCACACAGTGTCTGTGAGTTAAAATGGCCGCCATCCATTGTTCTCACCATGTGCTTCTGATACAGGAAATGGTGGCCACCCAGTAACTCCACAGTATGTCCCCAGATGGTTCTTAAAAGGGCTAGCAGCAGCACAACACAAATCCATTATGCCCAAATCATGTCTTTAAAGGGCAATACATCCCAGGGGCCATAGTCACATGGCAGGAGGCTGGCAACCAGGCTTCTCCAGTGCATAGTGGCGAGGTTGGTTCCGCCACACTCCTCCCCTTTAACAATCAGACTAACAGGGTATCTGACCTCCTGCCGGTCAGTGCCCTTGTTAGTCCAGCAGCCCACCCACAAAACACAATCAGTAATACAGCCCACCCACAATAACTGGCTACTGCACCAGGGTAGAGGAGAACTTTGCCCGTGTCCAGGTGCCTCACCATGGCTGTGTGGGTGACTGGTAAGCGTACTGGGTGGGTTGCTGAGTGGGCAGAGACCAGCGGTACTCTGTCCTGGTGCCAGCACTACCACGGGAGTAGTCTGGTTGGAGCCTGGTTGCTGGAGGGGTTTGCCTAAACAGTCCTGCTGCTGGGGGACAGGACCGACTGTCCCTACCCCCGGTGGTGCATGTGCAGAGACCACTGTCCCATCTGCACTGTTGTGGAGATTACTGTCTCCCCTTGGTGGGCTAAGCTGCCGCTGGGGAGAGGGGTAACAAGCTCCTCTCCCATACATACTTTCAGCCGCTGGGGAGAGGGGATAACAAGCTCCTCTCCCTGACACTCTCTCTGCTGTTGAAGGGGGAGACCGACTGTCTCCCCTTTCAATAATTTGTCCTGTTGCTGGGGAGAGGTGATAACTGGTTCCTCTCCCTGGAACACTCTCTGCTGTTGGAGAGGGGGACCAACTGTCTCCCCTTTTAATATATTGTCCTGCTGCTGGGGAGCGAGACCGACTGTCTCCGCTTCCTGCAGGACACACTGCCGCTGGGGAGGAAGTACGGCACCTTCAGCTTCCTGGGATACATACTGCCGCTGGGGAGGAAGGACTACACCTTCAGCTCCCTGGGGTACACACTGCCGCTGGGGAGGAAGGACGGCACCTTCTGCTCCCTGGGGTACACACTGCCGCTGGGGAGGAAGGACGACACCTTTGGCTCCCTGGGCTCACACTGCCGCTGGGGAGGAAGGACGGCACCTTCAGCTCCCTGGGGTACACACTGCCGCTGGGGAGGAAGGACGGCACCTTCAGCTCCCTGGGACACACACTAGGAAGGACACACTGCTCCCTGCTGCAGGAAGGACGACACCTTCTGCTCCCTGGGGTACACACTGCCGCTGGGGAGGAAGGACGGCACCTTCTGCTCCCTGGGGTACACACTGCCGCTGGGGAGGAAGGACGACACCTTCAGCTCCCTGGGATACACACTGCGCTGGGGAGGAAGGACGGCACCTTCAGCTCCCTGGGACACACACTGCCGCTGGGGAGGAAGGACGACACCTTCAGCTCCCTGGGATACACACTGCCGCTGGGGAGGAAGGACGGCACCTTCAGCTCCCTGGGACACACACTGCCGCTGGGGAGGAAGGACGACACCTTTGGCTCCCTGGGACTCACACTGCCACTGGGGAGGAAGGACAACACCTTCTGCTCCCTGGGGTACACACTGCCGCTGGGGAGGAAGGACGACACCTTTGGCTCCCTGGGACTCCTTTTTGGCCAAATCTACTAGAGATTGCAGGTATTCTCCTACTAGTTTCCTGGCGAGCTGCACGGCTCTCTCTGGGGGGTTGGGTCCAAAGGTAGACAGCACCTCATTAACCTCTCTGTGTAGTCATACGCCATGCTTGCTCTGCTGAAGTTAGTTCTTTTGTAGATAGGGTCGCTGTACGGGTACTAGCGTTGCCCTCAATTTGTAAATCCACGAACTGTGTCTCCGAGCTGCTTTACCTCGCACTAGGACGCCATCCCACCGCTTGCCACCAACGTAACGGATCGCCTGGCACCCCGACTGGGTACCTCCGTTGAAGGATGCTCCTAGCGCTTCCTGAGGACTCCAAGCACTCTGGCAGACACCACAATCACCGAGCCGGAGAAACATATGAATCCTCTCAAGCATATGAATGCTGTAGACAGTTGAATAGGAACCATACGAATAGGTTTACTCTCCTAGCAGTCAAACTGGAACAGCATACAATAAATCCTTCCCCCAATAATGAGACGACACTTCACTTTGAGGGTTAAAACAGGAACTCCCTGTACTGTCACATACAGTCTCTTTTATTCCCAATCCACAAACATAGTACAGCCCACAGGGCGTTACAAAACAGCCAATCAATCCATACAATACACCCAGACACTCCCACACAAAATCCGCCAGAGAAATACAGTTTCATAAAACACATCACAGGGACCCCAAAACATGCAATAACCCCATAACCTATATATCCTTGGAACTGGGGGATCTGGGTGAACCACATATCCAAAATTCACCCAGATCCGTTCAGTACTTTGGAAAATACAGTTTAATGCAGATTCTGCAGAACATATACAGGCTAAATAAAAAACAATCACTGTATAATGTGTCCCCTGCTGGATAGTCCAAATCCAACGCACGATGTCTCTGTGCAACAAATACTGGCGAGATGCTACTGTGTTGAAAAGTCCACAGTGTCTGTGAGTTAAAATGGCTGCCATCCATTGTTCTCACCATGTGCTTCTGATACAGGAAATGGTGGCCACCCAGTGAAGGAATATTGACCCCTTAAGGACACATGACATGTCATGATTCCCTTTTATTCCAGAAATTTGGTCCTTAAGGGGTTAAACAATTAATCTGTCAGTATTTCAGAACTGCTTGCAAAACATAATTGAAAGGAAGTCACAAGCTATGACAGTTTCTATGTATCAGGAAATGCCTAACCACAATGTATATGTGATATTTTGTAAGATTAGATTATTGAATGTAACAGCAGAAACTACTTCCTCTTTTATGTATCTTGTGTAACCTTTTTGTAACCTTTTTGTAACCTTTTGTAACCAATATTCGTGACAAGTATAGTATAAATATAGCGAATCTTGAATAAACGATCAGAAGATTATGGAAAGCAAAAAGTGTGTGTCTGGTTAATACGCTTCCATAAAAATCTTCCCTGAATATTCAGCTGACAATCGAGGGTTGGAGAATAGTGACCAGAGGGACCGAGTCACCAGAGTAGCAGATTTACCTTTCAGCTTGGTGTCAGAAGTGGGATTGTAGCCAAAACCATTTTGGGTGAGTAGTAATTCCTTGTGTCTATCTTGACGCCCTGAATCTATGATCCCCATGGTTTTGTAAGTCTACATCATTTTAGGAAAGGTTATTTAGTATATGTGTTTTATGTGACTCAGTTTTACATAAGGTCCCGTTAAATTAGTCTAGTAAGGGAACTAGACAGAGAGATATATGTATTTCTAGTAAGTGAACTAGAGAAGGTCTAATAAGAGAATTAGACAGATAAAAGGAAGTCTATAAAGTGATATAGACAGAGAATTTAGTATATAAGTGAATATACTACGATAGTGTGCACAGAGTTTCAGGTTCACCTTGTCCACCCTCTAATTGTCATTAGTTAAGTCTGGTTGTGAGTGTGAATAAGTGTTTGAAAGATTTGTCCTAGGAATGGGAAATTACCATGTAAGAATATGAAGTAGTTAACTTTTCTTGTTCATATGTATTTTATGCTTAAATAAGGTTTATAATCAGTAGTGCTGACTGTAAGGATATGAAATAGTTAAACTCTTTTTGCTTTATATGCTAACCCTGAAAATATACTCACTGAGAATCTTGTTAAAGCACATTTGTAGTGTCCATGTCTTTATTGCAAACAATGATTCTCCATCAATTGGGTGATTATCTATACTGGGGACACACTTTGGTAAGTTAGTAGTGTGTCCACCCTGAGTCAGCAGTATGGGAAATGTAAGTTCTGGTCCTGAGTGACCAATATATATACATATATATATGATAGCAGTACTGTATATTAGAAAAGAACTGGCTCGCAGGTTGTACCTGATAGACCTACTTAAATCTTTTGCTTTATTCTTTCTGTTGCATATAAGTATAAGTTTATTACTCTGTTGTATTGTAAGTTATTTCACATGGGATCTGTGTGCCTGGTATGATTGTTGCTTTAATACCATAAGCCCACTACACTTTCTATGAGAGTGGGATAGTGTAAATGTGTTACATTGTTTGCATGATGAGCTCAGTATTTTTATAACTGAGACAAAATGTCACTTCATTAGTATTTGAAAGTTAATTCCCCGTATGGGATTAATTGTATAGAATACCAATCAGCACATCTTCCCTGCCCTGTGTGTTTGTTGCAAAGGATCCATACTGTAAATATAATTTTTGTTTGTTAATAAGAGAGCAACATTTACATTTTCAGCGGTCCAACACATGCTTCATTTTGCGCTGTAAACTAACCTTTTTATTGCAACAGATTCCTTTTAAATGATCCAGTGTAATAATTACTGCATATGTTTTGTGTCTTCTATGTCTCACATTATATGTGTTCTGTTCTTTTAAATTGTGGTATATAGCCTGGATCAGAGATTATGGACAAAGGTTTCTACCTGTTTTGCTAAGGCTCTTGGAGACTGACCGGTCTAAGGTTTGCCATGCCTTTTAAACATGGTATAGAATAATTTTTTTTTTTAAGTCTCTGAAAGTTCTGTAAGATTCTGGTGAAACCATGTCTGTGTAATCTGGTCCAGATGTTTGCAAAATTTCTGTAAGATTTAAAATTGATGCAGCATCATCTCAGATTAGTTAATGGACGTTTCATACAAATATTTGAGTTATGAGCGCGCTATATAAATGGATCCTTTCTCTATATACAATACTATAGTAGATTAAAGTAACGAAGTTAATAAGAATTAAAAAAAAAAAAGTATACATAAGAATCCCTAAAATAAATCTAATATAAACTAAAATTGGTATACCTTACAATAATATGTTCAGAGTACAGCTGTTAACTGTTTATTCTGTGTAAATGGTGACTGTGATAATGTGTGAAGTGTGCAGTTTACCTGGAAAGTGGTTTCATTTATATGTTGCTGTGTTGTTTTAAATTATATTTGAATCAGTTTGTCTCAGTTTAATGATACTGATAAAAATGCCAGTCAAATACCCTAGCAAATAACGGTTTTATTAGCTGTTGAATACTAGCATTCTGGCCAAGAGTAGTTTGAGTTGGAGTAGTTCTATGAGCTCAGAGAGGCTCTGTGTTGTGGTGTGATATAGCTATATGGGAATGGAGATTTGGAGGTGTTAGTTTAAGACTGCTTTCATATTGTGTCTACCCGTGTTTCCTAGGAGGGACACAGAGTGTGTAGTTGTGTGCTCATGAATGTGTTTTCTGTATTGGCATATCTGCTGGGTACCCGATACGTGTATCTACTAAGTCTGTTTTGTGAGATGTCTGTTTTGTGAGATGACATGTAATATTACATTGAATGCTGAGTATGAGTTATATGGTTTGAAATGAATTGGTGTGTTATGTGTTTCATGTATTTTATTGTCCATTGTGTAGGAGTTTAACTATCAGAGTGATTTGCATATCATTAACGTAAGCATTTAGTGTTTTTACAAAAGGTGAAATGCTGTCCAGCCGGCTAGAATGAAACAATTGTATGCTATCGCTTATGGAGCACGAAAAGCGCTTGTTACATCCCACGTGAAAGGGGCCCCCTAAACTTCTGCTGTTCAAATCGTGGCTCCACATTTCCATTTGCAAACTGATTAATCCTGAAAGTCATTCTTTTACTGATAAAAAGGATTGAATGGACAAGATGTCTCTCCCTCATAAAGGAGTTCTAATAGGGGAGTATTGTCCAGCTCAGAGTTAACTCTACTTTTAAAGTATATTGCATTGTTTGTGTCAAAGTAAGATTCATCTAGTATGTCTCATTGATTATGGGGTAATAATAACATGGTATTTTAATAGAGATTAGACAATTTCGGAAATTTATAAGTGAGGTAATTTTAATCTCCTAAACTACTGTATTATATTTGTATGGGTAAAGTGAAAGCATTTTTGCAGATCCAGAAGAGGATTAATAAAAAAATATAATAATCTCACTAGGAGCCAAATTATGCAAAGAGGCTATCCAAAGTATGCACTAACGGGTTAAACTTGTTTTCTTGATAAGCGTATAACATTTAGTTTTATGGTTAGACTTTTGACATGCAATTTGAAATATGTCCCAATTACATCCTTGCACGGCACCAGGTACAGGAAGCAATATGCGTTTTAAAAATTTGCAAGGTCTTAGTGTTTTCAATATATTATAACAATGGAAAAGTACCTAACCGCATGTCTGCATTACGCTCATGACACAGACTGTCAGTATTGCAAGCCCTATATGAAGGCTATGCTTTCATTGTCGATGTATATACCCCTAGACAACCTTGCTTTTTATACACAATTTAACTATCCATACAGCCTTTAAAAGCTTATTAATATTATATCTGTGTGGTACACAAAGAGGGGGCTGTGAGTTAGGTAATCCCATCCTGCATATGGAATAAAGGCAGAGGTAGAGGATTTGGTCAAAGGGTCTAACTTTTGTAGAGGTAACAACTTCAGCATTGGTGGAACACACTGTTCTAATTGTGGATAGCAGGGTCACTGGAAAAATGAGTGCCCAAAGCCACCCCCACAGATTCCTCAATACCAACCATAGCTTCCAACCTATACCCACACCCAACAACCCCAGCCTAATACACAGATGGTTCATGTTTGTAATATTTAATATAGTTTTAGGTGTTAATCCAAGAGTATTGAATTATTCAGGATTATTAAAGTAATTAATTTTGAATATCAAATCAAGGTTCCAGTTTAGGAACAGAGTGTTATTGGGAATTATCCCCATATGTATATGTTAGTGTTTTAATATTCATCCTAACAAGGATTTCTATAGAGTGAGTGCTACTCTCATCCGTGCAAAGGCATTCCAAAGGGGTATTATGTAAAACTTCATAGAAGACAGATTGCATAAAATATAAGCAAATATAAGAGAAGTACATGTTACACAAATTAAGGGTTTAACCTTAATCTCTAATTTAAGTTTTAGCCTAGGTAATTAATTAATGTTGTATTGATCCTTGTGTTTGTATGATTGTAGAGACCGTCCTGGAGTGTTTGTGCCGCCTGATTTCTGGGACTACACACCAATCTCTCTGGCTGACCATGCAATAAGTATTTTGCAATTACATCTGTTTGGTCATTATCCATGCAGGCCGAAGAAACTGAGATACTTATTTATGAGGACATAAACTTTGCACGCAAGAACCTGGAAAGTCCTGAAGGTGCAGTGCTGTCTAATACCGCTGGTTCTGTAATAACCCTTTCAACCATTGGGGTGTTGCACAGAGCTTTGTGGTGAAAATCCAGCAAACAAAAGAAGAACTATGTGGAAGCTGACATTGTCTTGTTGTCAGCCATATTGCTACCCTTAGCCATTTTATGGAACAAAATGTCTGGTGTCTAAACTGATTTCTTTATACTCTGTGAAAGACTTGTTCTATTTTTCTGAACTATGCTGAACTATTGAACTATTTTTATTTTTGTAGAGTTAGCCAGAGAGAGAGGAAGTGTTAGCTGACCCAGGGATGGATGTACTATGTGTGTTTTTGATATATGTTGAGTGTGCCAGGGATGGATTCCCATGTTTTGAGGAACTGCGTGAGGATATGACTGGTTTTGACTGGACTTTTGGAATAGGGAAATGGTTAAAAGATATAGGACGCAAGGTCCTGGTTGTGCAAAAATATAGTTGCTATAAGCCCAAGTTCCATTCTGTCTTAAACATCCATTTTCTATATATCTGTCTGCAAAAGTATTAAGTGGTTTTTGTTTTGTTTTTTTTCTGCTGAGTTTCTGTTTCTTGTAGACCACATGATTGCTTGGGAATGCCATAATGTGGAAATTTCTCTGTCTTGGGAGAATGTTATCCGATGATATGAGCAATATATATTGCTCAAAGAGGGGTAACAATTGTGATTATTGGGGCTCAGTTGGATGGAACACCGGGACAGATTGGGGTTATAAGCCATAGAATGCATTAGATAAAAAGGATACGAATGGGAAGTCCCTCTTGACTAGAATGACCCTAACAAAGCCAGGTACATGTACCCCTATAGGGCAAACTGGGCACTCCATGAAATTTACCTTAAATATTTTACCTCTAGACAAACTCTTGTTAATCCTCTAAAGCCCCACATTCAAACCCTTGGTAATATGATGGCCATAGCAGATCCCACGTTTGGAGATACCATAGCGTTAGAAACAGGGTATGCAGATACAAACCTATGGCTGGAATGGATGAGATATAATGCCCATTCCAACAATAGGTCAAACTGTTATGTATGTGGTAGTGCCAGACCTCATCTAGGAACTGTACCCTTACATGTCCCTGATGAGTACTGGGAATGTTTCCTAAGTTTGTTTTCAGGTATCACTGTTAATACTACAGAATGTGAAGAATGGAAAAAGGGTCACCCTATTGGTGAACCCAAGTTTAATTTAAATGATGTTGTCCCAGTATGTCCTGGTAATTATACTTGTTTTCAGGGAAATAATAATGGTAAGGTGGGTACACAATTTGATAACTTCTCTTCAGGATTCTGTACCTTAGTGAATCAAACACAATCTGTGGGAGATGTTTATTGAATATGTGGAGATATGAAAATACGTTCTAGACTCCCCACCCCCTGGAGAGGAGAATGTGCCCCAGCCAAAATAATCATGCCCCTCCATATATTTGGCGACTCTCTCCCTGAAATTAAGGTTGTAACTGATTCCACAAGAAGGAAAAGGTAGTTTCAACCCACATATCTATCTAGATGCCATTGGTATTCCAAGAGGGGTTCCTAATGAATTTAAAGCTAGAGACGAGGTGGCAGCAGGATTTGAATCAATATTTCCCATTATAACAGCTAACAAGAATGTTAACTGGATGAATTATATGTATTATAATCAGCAAAGATTTGTAAATTATACACGAGATGCATTACAAGGTCTTGCTGAACAATTACAGGCTACCTCACAAATGACTTTCCAGAATAGAATGGCCCTTGATATGATTTTAACAGAAAAGGGAGGAGTCTGTAAAATACTTGACTCCGGTGTTTGTTGTACCTATATTCCAGAGAACACTGGCCCTAATGGTAAAGTAACCCTAGATATAAAGAAATTAGAAGACCTGTCCATAGAAATGAAGAGGAATTCAGGTATTGATCACCCATGGGCAGATATGTTTAAGTTTGACAGTATCCTAGACTGGCTAAAGAATATTGCAATAATTATTGTTATGGTTCTGATCCTTGCTCTACTTGTTTATGCTATTTTCAAGATTATTGTATTCTGCATTTACAAACATACACGCAACACTGTTCCTGTAAAATCCCCAGCTTGATATGATGAGTATCTCCAAATGTATACACATAACCGAAGCAATGGTGAACATGCTGATACAGATCTATAAGTTTGAGGTACTGGTCAGATGCCTAGTCCTATGCTATGGGAATAGTGGCCGAAGACATAATGAAAGACCTGCAGGATTGGCTAGCAATCCTGAATATACCATGGCAGATGGCTGGTTGTCTGACCAGGACTCCTTAAATAGGGTATGAGCAAGATATTGCTCAAAGAGGGGGAAATGAAGGAATATTGACCCCTTAAGGACACATGACATGTCATGATTCCCTTTTATTCCAGAAATTTGGTCCTTAAGGGGTTAAACAATTAATCTGTCAGTATTTCAGAACTGCTTGCAAAACATAATTGAAAGGAAGTCACAAGCTATGACAGTTTCTATGTATCAGGAAATGCCTAACCACAATGTATATGTGATATTTTGTAAGATTAGATTATTGAATGTAACAGCAGAAACTACTTCCTCTTTTATGTATCTTGTGTAACCTTTTTGTAACCTTTTGTAACCAATATTCGTGACAAGTATAGTATAAATATAGCGAATCTTGAATAAACGATCAGAAGATTATGGAGAGCAAAAAGTGTGTGTCTGGTTAATACGCTTCCATAAAAATCTTCCCTGAATATTCAGCTGACAATCGAGGGTTGGAGAATAGTGACCAGAGGGACCGAGTCACCAGAGTAGCAGATTTACCTTTCACCCAGTAACTCCACAATATGTCCCCAGATGGTTCTTAAAAGGGCTAGCAGCAGCACAACACAAATCCATTATGCCCAAATCATGTCTTTAAAGGGCAATACATCCCAGGGGCCATAGTCACATGGCAGGAGGCTGGCAACCAGGCTTCTCCAGTGCATAGTGGCGAGGTTGGTTCCGCCACATGTCTATTTGTATTGAAAATGGAACTATCAAAACTAAAACTTTTTTAAAAACACTGATATCAACAGTTTCATTGATATCAGAAGTGGGCACCATCCTAACTGGCTAAAGGGAGTTCCCAAAAGCCAGTTTATTAGGATGCGTAGAAACTGTAGTGATCTAGATTCATTTTACACACAAGCTGAAGTTTTGAAAGGTCGTTTTTTGGAGAAGGGGTACAATTCAGAACTTTTGGACGCAGAGATCAATAAGGTGGGAAGTATCAATCGTAATGATCTTCTTATGGATAAGAGAAAGGATGTCTCCAGGAATCCTGTATTTGACTTTTCTTTTAATACGCAATATAGTTCTATGGCCTTCGATATACAGAGGATTATTAAAAGGCATTGGGGGTTATTAATAGAGGATGAATATCTTAATCAACAGATTCCTCATCTTCCTAAAGTTATATTTAGGAGAGGAGTCAATCTAAAGCAAATTTTAGCACCAAGTACTTTTAGATCTGGAAAGAGCAAAATAAAACGTAAAGAAGGTTACTACACATGTGGGAGTTGCGTCAGTTGTAATCACAAATATAATAGTATCACGAGTTTTGTGAGCACGGTCAATAAGAGAAGGTTTAAAATCAAAGGTACTCTATCCTGTTCTTCAACACATGTTGTATACCTACTCACATGTGGGTGTGGGTTGCAATATGTGGGAAGAACAGGAAGAAAAGCAAAAGTTAGGTTCCAGGAGCATAGGAATAATATTAAAAATCATATGTTGACACATTCAGTGCCAGTACACTGTAATAAATGTCAATTTTTTAACTTTAATACCCTCCAATGTACCATCATTGAACAAGTAGCCTTAGATGAAAGAGGTGGAGATCTGATGTTACTATTGAGAAAAAGAGAGGGATATTGGATACACACTTTACAAACAATGCAACCTAGGGGACTTAACGTCGATTTCGATTTGGTTTGCTTTCTTTGATTGACACCTTCTTTTATGTACTTTCTGCACTTCTTTTTGTATATAGTTTTAACCCCTTAGCGACCGAGGACGGTTCAGGACCGTCATCGGCATTTTTGCCTTGAGGACCGATGACGGTCCTGAACCGTCCTAACGGTCAGGGGGTACTTACCTGATCGCCGTCGTTCCCCCGGCGGCGATCAGCGTTGCTCCGGTTGTGGGGAGACTGCCTGCAGCCCAGACAGTCTCCCCACACTGATTTAGGACCCCTGTGGCCATGTGATCGCTTAACACAGCGATCACATGGTCACAATAGGTGTGCATGTGTGTGTCTGCCTGCAGGGGGACTGTCTGTGCTGACAGGCAGTCTCCCTGCTAGTGTAAAAACAAAAAAAAAAATAAAGTTAGTGTTAATAAAAAAATTTTTAAAAATTATATATGTGTATAAATATGATATATAGACATATATTATATCTATATAATATATGTCTATCTATCATATATATAATGTCATACTAAGTGTATTTTTATATTAATATGTACTTATATTAATATAAAAATACACTTATAATTAAATTACACACGTATATATATAATATATAATAACTATATATATTGTATATATATATTATTATAAAATATAAATAATAAGTAATTTAAATTAAATAAATTTTTTTTTAAATAATAATAAAAAATTTTAAAAAAATTATATAGCTATATGAAATTTTATTCTAACTGTATTTTTAAATTAATATATATATATTTATATCAAAATACACTTAGAATGAATTTGTATATATATCTATGTATATAAAAATAAATAAAAATAATAAGAAATATACATATGTCCATATACAAAATTACATAAATAATTATATAAATATACACGTAGACTTCAAATATATAAATATAT